CTCTGTCAGAAGCACCACCTCGCATACAAAGACTTCTGATAAGACTCCAAAAGTATTAAGTTGTAGTAAAATATTTTCCAGGAAAAGATCTACACATTCCAGACTCTTTATCACATGTTCACCTCAACATTTTTGACGAGGATGATAGCCTAAATAAGGACTGCAACGTTATGGTCTACACTTTAGTTCAAAATTTGCCAATATCAACAGATAGGCTAAAACAGTTGCAGCACGACACTAAACTTGACCCTGTGCTCTCTCAAATAACAAACTATATAACTTATGGTTGGCCCCGAAACCAACAAATGCTCTGCTGTGAAGAAAAGAAATATTGGACCATCAGAAACAACCTACACACAGCAGAGGGAATAATTTTGAAAGAAAATAAAATAGTCATACTAACTGATTCGAGACCCCTCATATTAACACAGCTTCACTTATCACACCTGGACACTGAAAAGACGAAAGCTAGAGCTCGAAACGCTGTTTACTGGCCAGGACTTACAAGCAACATTGAAAAACTAATATTTAATTGCCATAAATGCCTTAAATACTGTAATAACAACAACAAGGAATAAATCATTCAACACGACATTCCTGATTTACTATGGAGTAAAGTAGGATCAGACATATATGAGTTGCATGAAAAAATCTATGTAATTGTTATAGACTACTTTTCTAAATTTATAGACTACTTTTCTAAATTTATAGAAAACAGTGTCATTCCTGACAAAACTACATTTTCTGTAATAAAATTTATGAAAACCATTTTTACTTGTCACGGAATATCTTCAAGTCTCATTGCCGATAACAACCCCTACAACAGTGCAGAGTTCCTTAACTTTTCAAAAGAATATGGGTTTAACTTCACTCCATCAAGTCTAAACTACCCTCAATCAAATGGTCTAAGTGAAATAGGCGTGAAAATTATTAAGAAAATACTAAATGCGACAACCCTGAACTTGATCTTCTAGAATACCTCAACATGTCTCTCACTGGTATGCACTACTCTCCATCCCAACTTCTCATGAACAAAAGAATACGAACAACCATACCTGTCCACCATGACTACTCATACCAGCAGTTCCTGTAAATGCTTATAGTCAGATCACCATGTCCGGAAATCGTCAAAAATACTATGATTGGAAAACATCTGAACTCCCAAAAATTGTAGCAAACAACACTACCCAGATGAAAAAAGATGGAAAATGAAAGTGACAGTTAAAGAAAAATTAACATTACCCAGATCATACATCGTGGTAGATAAGTACGGGAGAGTATATCGTTGTAATCGTAAACATCTGATTAAAACTAATGAGCAACCACTAGTATATCAGCATGAAGAACTTGATTTGCCATACAATTTACCGGCTGTTATTTCACCTCCTAAATCAAATGAGGAAACAGCAAACAATGTAATAGAAGCTACATGTATTCCTGAAACTCTATTGACTGAACCGCTGCCTGACTTGCAAAGATCTTTAAGGACTAAAAGCAGACCTGTCTACTTGAGGGACTTCATTTAACAGTGCATATTATAAAGAACTTGTTTAACTATATGATAATATATACATCTTTAAACTTTTGAAAAAAAAAAAAAAAAATTTTAAGAAGTAAGATGTAATGTTCGGCATAATGCACACATGCCTCGTGTTACTATTATATTGTATTACTTGAAGTAAATATGGCGGTCTGCACACTTTAAACTTTATGCTGTATTTAATTCTTGGTCTAACAATATCTTTAAAATATTACCGCAATAAGTCTTAAACCATAGACATGAAAGTTATTTTAATTACTACACTTATTTTTCATTTAAGTTTTTTTTTTTCAATTTCTATTAGAAATGTTGTAGAAATAAACCAATAAATAACTATGCTTAGTCACACTTCTAAACACTTTGTTTTTATTTTTAAATTTAATGTTTTATTCTTGTGATGCTAGTAAAAATGGTTTGTTAGAGGCTGGTTAAGTTCAATGTTTTTGCTACCTCTAGCTCAAAACTAAAAACTCTGAAATTGTTTTAATTCGACCAGTTGTTATCCTTTATAAAAAGAATATATTGTTATCTTTTACAAAAAGTTTTATTACTTAGTTTTAATTTTTTTAAAATTAAAACAATTTTCAATTTATAAAATATAACTAATTTTTTATCAGTGAGTTATGGATGCCATCTTACCTCAAATTATGAGCGTTATGTTGGATATTTACAATTTTTAAGACAATGTGTTGTGCATTGTATTCAAGTATATATATACTTGATACAGCACTCCGTTGCAAGTCAGCCTATAAGATAGTCGATGCAGCAACACTCCGCGCATCTTTTAAATATATTTTTTAAAAAAACAACAACATAAACACCAGTGTTTAAAAAACACTTTCTAATCATTATTAATACAGTTTTTTTAAAAAAACAATAAAATAAAATGTACTTGCGCGTTAAATTAATTGCTTTGACATTTCAACAACAATAAAATGCAGTGTAAAAGACAAGGTAAAAAAATTAAAGTCAAAATAGACTTTTTTTTACCATAAAAGTCTTTTTCGACTATGATATAAGGATATATGTATATATATATATATATATATATATATATATATATATATATATATATATATATATATATATATATATATATATATCAAGTATATATATATATATATATCAAGTATATATATATATATATATATCAAGTATTAATATATATATATATATATATATATATATATATATATATATATATATATATATATATATATATATATATATATATATATATATATATATATATATATCAAGTATAAATATATATATCAAATATATATATATATATATATTATATATATATATACATATCAAATATATATATATATATATATATATATATATATATATATATATATATATATATATATATATATATATATATATACATAAAATATGTTTGTTTTTTTTTTTTTAAGAACTTAACAGTGATAAGTATATATATCAAGTATATATATATATATATATATATATATATATATATATATATATATATATATATATATATATATATATATATATATATATATATATATATATATATAAATAATCATAAGTCATGACAAACTGATGAATGAAAATGTTACAAAAACCTACAAAAAAGCACCCACAAATTTAGAAAAATCAATCAATTTAGAAGCCAACCAAATAGCCTTAAAACTAAATTTGAGTAGAATAATACACCTAGCAAAATCTCCTGCATTTATAACCCTGAAAGACCATAAAGAAAATTTTAAATCAAAACCAACATGCTGCCTCCTTAACCCGGCAAAAAGAGAAATCTGAATATTAAGCAAAAAAATTTTAGACACAGTAAACACTACCTTAAAAATTAGGTTTAAAGTAAACCAATGGAAAAACACAACTGATGTTATCAATTGGTTTAATAACATTCCAGACAAAAATTCAAAATAAAATTCCAGACAAAAATAATTGTTTCTTTATTCAATTCGATATAAATGAATTTTACCCATCAATAACAACCAAAATATTTAATAAAGCCATTTCCTTTGCAAAGCAACACACTCCCATAACAGACGACCAACTTAGAATAATGAAACACATCCGAAAATCCCTCCTATACAACAACAATACACGTGGATAAAAAAACAGTGAAAGTTTTGATGAAAGAGTCGTGAAAGTTTTGACGTCACGATGGGCAGCTATGATGGCGCCGAAATTTGCGAACTCGTAGGAATCCACGTACTTAATGAAATATTCGATATAATTATAAAAACCGGTATAGGACTATACCGTGATGACGGTTTATTAATAATACGTAGTTCTAACGGCCAAGAAACTGAACGAACTCAAAAAAACATTATTCAAAAGTTTAAAAACATAGGCTTTCAAATAGATATAAAAACTAATCTTAAATCAGTTGACTTCCTTGATGTCACGTTAAATTTATCCCAAAACACCTACAAACCATTCAAAAAACCTAACGATAATCTTTAATACATTCATACATCCTCTAACCACCCAACACAAATCCTTAAGCAATTACCTACTTCAATAAGCAAGAGACTTTCACAAAATTCCTCAAATGAAGCTATATTTAACCAATCTAAAAATGAATACGCACTAAAAAATAGTGGATATAAAAACAACTCACTAAAATATCATATTAAACAAAATCTTCCCCAAAGAAATCGTAAACGCAATATCATATGGTTTAACCCCCTATTCAACAAAAACGTCTCCACTAACGTCGCAAAAATATTTTTGAAATTACTTGACGAAAATTTTCCTAAAACACACAAACTACATAAAGTCTTTAACAGAAACACTGTAAAAGTAAGCTACAGTTGTACTGAAAATATCTAAAAAATTATTATATATTTTATAAAAATTATTATATATTTGATATATATATATATATATATATATATATATATATATATATATATATATATATATATATATATATATATATATATTTGTATGTATATATATATATATATATATCAAGTATATATAAATACATGTTTGTAAGTTACGTTACGATAATACCGACTTTACGAAATCTAAACGCCAACTGCAACCGCAACTTCTAAGGACAAAATGTTGATAATGCGCATGCATGAGCTCAGGGTAATACCCTAGTCGCGTTTTAAAGTTCTAGGCCGGACGTAAAAATTCAAGTTTAAGCATTGCAGTGAAAACGTGAAATAGTTATGATAAGGTTCCAAAGTTTTTATGGTTTTTAAATTTATATTGTTAAATCGGCTAATTATTTTTATTTTAAATCTGAATTACTAACTTTACATATGTGTGTGTGTGCTCTAATGCTCTTATAGCGCAGTTTATCTTTGTTATGGAATCTACATGTGGATCAATTACAACATCTTCAGCAAGATAATATAATTATATGTAAAATCTGACTGTCATACAAACCTGTGATTTATATTGTATAAGTAATGATTTTTAATAATTTAATTGATATGTTTATTAAAATAACAATTTAACTATAAAATGTTTTATTTTTTAGTTCAATGCAATGGACTCAGCTGCATTATTACACATTATTAATGGAGGTTTTGACCTTCAAGCCATGGCAGTTTAAACGTGGTTCAAAAGAAAGAGGAGATTCATGGGAAAAAATATCCAACTCTGTTAATGGATTACCAGAACCTTATTTTAAAGTTACTGGTAGATCAACTCGTGATCACATTAACCTTTTGATTGAAAAGTTTAAAAAAAAAGATACAAAAGAAAAAAATGTAAGTGGAATTACATGTGACTTGACAGATTATGATGTGGCTATTGCTGATGTCTATGAGAGATTTCAGCAATCTGAAAGTATTTTTAAAGAGCAATTAGAGCATAATAATGGAAAGATTGATGTGGATAATGTTCAAGCAATAGAAATGCGTAAAATGTCATTAGAGACACATAATGAAACTGAAAAGCGAAACAAAGGACAAGAACTCTTAAAAAAGTCAAGAAATAATAGCAATGAAACTATTGCTTATTTAAAAGAGAAGAATGAAATAGAAGTAAATATTAGAAAATAAGAACTGGAAATTAAAAAAAGAGAAGTTGAAGCACAAGCAAACACAATGCAATACATTCTGCAGCAGCAAAATACCTTGATGCAGCAACAAAATAACATGATGCAGGCTATGATGCAACAGCAAGCATCTTTTTTAGAAATTTTAAGCAAATTTTAACCAGAAAAAAAATAAAGTTATTTGTGTACACTTTTTTATATTTCATGGAAAAAATTATTTAAAGAAGTCTGAAAGCGATGGTGGTTGGCAATCAAAATATGTTATTGTTGTTGAACCATCTAGTCAAACACGTGCGTTGTGCATTAATGCACAAACCAAATACATTTTAGAAACTGGACTAAGTTCCACTTTAAGATTCTTTTTTAAGTCTAAAAATTTAAAATAGTTAACAATATCTCTAAATACCCACTCAACAGCAACACAAACTTTGCTCATATTTTTGTTCCAAATAAGCTGCTCAGGGGATATGTTAGCTCCTTTAAACCCACATTGTAAATTAACTCTATGGGGGTATGCAGGGTCTCCATAAACACACAAAGGTTCTCTATTGCTATTGAAAGAACAAACTGCTAATTTATTTAGTAAATTTGAATCGGCAAGCATACTGCTATCATGTCTTTTCCCTTCCACAGGACCATATAGATTGGCAATTAAGCCATTGGGTGCAACTAGTGATTGGAAATTTTTATTCCGTGACACCTTTTATGTCCATTGTAAAGTATTCTTTGGTGCTCTCTAGGACGACTTATTGGTCTTAAAGTTCCATCAATAAACCCCCAGCAGTTTGTAAGAGGAGCTCCTTTAGCATGAATAGCAGCGGCAAACATTTCTAGATGCTGAGTATCTAACCATCCCTGATTTAAGTTGGTAAGTAAATGGCCCCATTGTGCAAACAATAAATTCATAATATGGTTTGAAATCATACATAATTGTGGTACTGGTCTT